GTCCTTTTTACAAATGTTTTTGTCAATCCCAAAAATGTTTGCCAGATTAAATCAAGAACAATAATTTGTCGATTTTATAGGTTTCAACCGAATAGATTAAGTTTTTGAGATCAACATGTCAAACAAACTGGCTGTTTCTAGCCAAGTTCAACGGTCAGCATAAAGCCTCTAATGTAATGTATGAATGTCTTCTTACCAGGCAGAGAAAACACAGAGGCTCCACGAAACCAGCCGTCCAAAAGGAACAAATACAATAATATTATTGAAGGGACAGCCAAAGGTTTTTGGTCTGTTTTCAAAGTATTGACGGAATTTTCAGAAACGTCCTGTCTTAAATAAAAGCCTAAACGTACAACACCAAAGTTCACTTTCTGCTTCTCCTCAGAAGTTACCTTTCCACAATAAAAACACTTATGTCCTCACTCATCGTCTCCGCTCCGGGCATCTATGATGTTTTGCCACTGTGTGCTTATGCAGGCAAACAAACTGGAGTGCCAAACTATCCGTTATATAGCAGCTTTGACCCTCAAACAGAGAGAGAGATCCTCCTCCTGCTTGTGTTTACCACCAAGTAGGTGAACCTGGTCCTCCCAGAGCTGGTCCCTTTGGTGTCGGCCCGGATGAAGGCCGGCGGGGCAACTTCTCCACACTGAGAGAAACATTTGTGCAACATTTTCGACCAAAATAGTCCAGGGCTCCACCGCAATGCAAGAGGACTGCCTTCATTTAGGGCGATGGGGTTGGCAGATCTCTCACACACACACACACACACACACACACACACACACACACACACACACACACACACACACACACACACACACACACACACACACAGCGTTTCACCACCGTCATGTGGAAGCCAAAGTCATGAAATAAGCTCATTCTGTAAGAACACTGTGACAACGGAACATTGTGGGGACCAAACATGTACAAGTTCAAATTGAGCGGCCCAGTGGAACAAGTTTGAACCAGCACCCCCCCCCCCCCCCACCCCCTATCTGCTGTAGTGTATCCTGGTAGGAATGTACAAAGTGACTCAAAAGTTCAAGAGTTCAAAAATCACCATGCAAAACTATTTAAGTTGTGTGTGTCAAAGCAAAGGAGCAAGGTACAAAAAACTGACAGAAAATATCACAGACACATTATCAAAAAGGTTGAAATAAATGTGTGTGTCTCAGACAAATCCCAAATTAAAAGTGTGTCGACAGAACTCATTAAGATGAACTTTTTAAATACAGTTAATCCTCCCCAAAAAAACCCGAACGTGATGTTAGTTCCTACCTGCTCTGCTCTCTCTCCAAGAAAGCCCGCCGTCCTCTCACCGTCCGAAGCGCTCAAGTCCGAAAAGTGTGTCTCTCCGTCCCGCAGGGGAACTTCAGACGAGTCGGTGGTTTTTATGGAGAGGGAAACCCCCTCCAGCCTGTTGCACAGCGCTCTCTGCGCAGAACGGAGCCAGCGGACCTTCTGGGTGTCACATGAAATGACCTCCCTTTTCGCTGCTGCTCGTATCACAGAAATGGCACAATGAGGGTTCTAGTGGGAGCGCGGCGCAGCCCCGGACCCGTCGGTACCCAAAATGTCCGAACTTGTCCCGTAGGAGCGTGGAAATGCGGTCGGATGTCAGCGGAGCGCGCTCCAAGTGGCGTGCGTCTATGCGCGCGGTGTCCTCGGGCAACAGGTGTCGGACATAAAGTGAGATTTCTCCACGGCCATCACAAAGTTTTCCGAAAGCTCTCCAATAATTACGCACCCGGTGGGGGTGGAGGGGAGGAAGCAGGAGGAGGAGGAGGAGGAGGGCGCAGAGGAAGGAGGGTGCTCTCCATTTTACGCATCGAGCGTAGAAGTTTGAAACTGAGGGAATCCGCAACAGGCTGGAGTGAAACTAAGGCACTTCCCTCGGATGCGCTGTCCGTGCCGTGGAAACGGTTCTCCTGCCCACCCACACAGGAGGAAACGAAATGTGTCTCTACAACCAGGAAACCCCGAGAAATCTCTAAAACGTTGGCGAGAGGCGGGATTCGAACCCTCGCCGCCAAAAGTCCACACGACAAGGAGAAGGAGAAGGAGTCACACCTTCGACCACCACCAGACCGCTCGACCGTCCTGACCGCTTCGGCCCACCGTATGTGTCCAAACCGAATAATAAATCAATCATAAAACAACATTCTGCTCTTTACAATCGCGTTGGTTTGTCAGTTGTTCGCGTATTTAAAAGCAGAGTTCATCCCACAATCCAAAATGCACACTTCCATTTATCAGCCTGCATGGTTTTGGAGGTACGGGCCACAGAGATGTAGAATGAGACTATATTACATTATGAAAACCTAATATTTTCCTTTTTGCCATTCGGTGTATTTTTGAGCTCATTGTTGTGTGTACGAAGCAAATGGGAAACTTATACACCTCGAATCGTTGGACAATCCGTCCCCTTCGCTGAAGGCATTGACCCTTGCTGAGAGCTGACTGGTGAGGTCAACGTGGACATTTCAAAACCGGCCTCGGCCGCATCAGACGGAGACGCCCCTTATAAATCACTGACAAGCCGAATCTGTCCGTCCCCATCGCTCGTTGGGACACGGCAGCTCGGGGAGACATTCTCTCAGAAGGCAATAAAAGTCGCAGGAATGCACAGCCGGAGGAGGAACAGAAGATAAGGGAAATGTCTTCCCTGCTGGTGGATGTTTGGGCTCTCTGTGGCCAGCAGCTTATTTTAGCAGCTCCACTCCTCTCGCGTTGTTTTTATTTCGCTTATTCAGTGTCCTCCTGCTGCTCTCTGCGTCCTTCTGCCGCTTCCATCTTGCCAGTTCTCTCCATCCGCTGCTCCCTCCTTCTCCCCTGCATTCATCCCACCGGCAGGCCAGTAAGCACGTCTGAGCAAAAACAAGGCCTACAAAGAGCAAACATCCAAAACTAACAACCAACAGGTTTATTATCCCTTCAAAGCACCACTGAAATCATTAATTATTAAGCTCGAAGACTTGTAATACAGACGGAGCGTGTGTTTTTTAGGTCGAGTCGCTGTTTGTTTTGGTCTCGGCTCGGCCTCTCCTCTGTTTTCTCTTTCTCTCCATCACCCTCTCCGTCTTTTTTTCTTTTGCACTCATGTGCGATGTGATGTGTGATGATTGAAACCACATCTACCCAAAGCCAACGCAGGCCCCTCCCCACTTCCTCTGCACATTTTAGCTTCTCGTCCCCCCCGTCTCTCCCGCGCGTCTCCGTCCTCCTCTTTGGTCGTTTCACGGAAACAAATGTTCAAACGTTATCTCAAGGACATCGGAGCCGGTATCAGCGGGATCTCATCAACGCTCGGCGTCTACGAAGAAAGGTGTGCTTAAACGCTGAGTTGTGTGTGCGTGTGGTTGCAACCAAATTTAAAAAGCAAACCATGCAACGGAATGAATTCAATTCCAACCATTAATGTCAATGATGTAAAGCATTTCAATCGTGTGACATGTTGGAGACATTGGAAATTGTTGACTGCACATTTTTAGCATTTTTCAGAACATATTATATACAGACAGTATTAAATTTCACAGCGGTGCATGAAAAAAGAATCAAGGGGATTTATTCTGCATCTTAGACTTGGTTTTGAGGAAATGTCAACATGCCGTTCTCTTGAACACATTTGCGGTGTGTGAGTATGTCACATTTTGCACAATTTGGGCTTCGAGACAAGACACAGAGCCATGAGTCACGGCAGAGACAGGACGATGAAAGGGTATCTGGTGCTCAGCCGGTTGTGTTTCCACTCTTTTCTATCCCTCCCTCCCTCCCTCCATCTCCTTCTCCATCACATAAATCAGGCAGTCGTACATGCGTAACTCTCCCTCCTCTCTCTGACTGCATCCATTCCCTCCTGTCTCCCTCCACCGGCTTTTATTAGGACAGTAGATGGAGAAAGCAGAACGGATGCTTCCAAAACCAAACCTCCCAGGTACCGACACGCACCGAGCGGAGCGTTGCCATGTGTGGAGGCAAACATCGGCACACATGTTGCGTTCGCACACTGTCAGGGTGCTTTATTGTGTGAGAAACGAGGATGTTTCCACAGAGTCGGGTCAAGGTGAAGGTTGAAGGTCAGTCGAGCCGCTAAACCAGGTTTTCTAGTTGAGCGGACGCGGAACACTGACCTTCTGCAATATTTGTGCGGGACGCAAGCAATGAGGAAGTGTGCGTTCACCCATATATACCACAAACACATGTGATAAACTTGTATTTTTGAATGAGGGGCACTCTTATTTTAATTTATTTTTAATCTCAGAATCATGATTTTTATTATCATGATACTGCTGCTCTTGTTTTTTGTTACCATGTATGTTGTGTGCACTGTCCACTTTGCTGCCGCAATCCTGTACATTTCCCCACTGTGGGACTAATAAAGGAATATATATATATATATATATATATATATATATATATATATATATATATGTGTGTTATGTTTATTTCGTCATCATTAATAGCAAGCAGTTTTAGGGTGCACTACATTTAGCATATTTTCACCTCTTCATATAGCTGTCATAGATTAATTGTTCCCCTTTCCCACGGGACACAAAAAGGAGCCCAAATGTATCTCAGTTCGTGCCCCTGAAGTGCCGGTACCCCCTCAAATCTGCTGTATGTATAACACGCCGACTTCTGCAGCACCACTTCATAAATCCAAACCATCCCTTTCAGACTGTGTGTGTGTGTGTAAAGAACAGGAACAGGATGAGGGCGATGGAACAATGTCATTATTGTGGGCGAGTAGGAAAATAAACCACTAGTGACAAGATAAGAAGCAGCGTCTAGGGGGGGAGGCGAAGGGAACGAAGGGGAAGGAGAGGTCAGAGAGAGTAAGGAAATGAGACAAAAGGACTAATGATCTAAGCGCCGTCTTTATCGTTTGCCGCTCAAGCCTAGAGAGAGAAAAAAGACACCGTCAGTCCTTCTATCTAACAAACGCTCACTGAGCGGAGGTGTGTGGGAGCGAGGATTAATCCCAGGCGTCACAATTAAAGGGATGAAAAGGATATTTTGGTTTATTTTCTTTATGGCTTGTTTTTGTTACCTTCAACAAAGAGATCGATGAAACAAGAAACATTAGGAGACACAATATTAATCATTTGGTTTAACTGCTTGAACGTGTCACACGTTTGAGACCTCAAAACACGCACAGAATCCCTCCCCGTCAAATTAAAGATAAATCCACGTTTTATTCCATTCTGTTATTGTCAATCCACAACAAAGTCGCGGCGAGTCCCGGTCCTCAGCGCTCCATAACATTATCAGTATAAAACAAGACAACCAAATACTGGATTTACAAACACAAGCTCATATCTGATGGAGTTTCATTCCAAAATAAGAACCAGGTCTCAAACTACTGATGATCAATTTCAAACCAGTGACATTTGAGGCTCCCACACCTCATAAAACAGATATGTCATATTATGGAATGAAAGTCATCTTTTATACACATTTGGGCTTTTTTTTTAAAAACCCATCTGAGGTGCAGATAGTGACACATTTTATTTGACAGCTTTCTGACGGTGTAAATCTCCGTCTTTAGGCTTCGTCTCCACCGGGTATTTCTTTTCAGGGAGCAACGCTCAACAGTCGCATGTTGCCAGTCACCGCTTCAGCACTCACTACAGTATTATATATACATACATATATATATATATGTATGTATATTTCATGCTGAGGCTGTAAGCGCTGTGGGAAACATGCTTCAGGGTGTCGCTTCCTTCCAGGACACAGATCCTGAGTGTCCCCCGGTGGACACGGAGCCTCTTCTGGGTGCATTATATACGTTGGCAGCCTCCTGCTCGCAGAACCAATCTGTGGTCACTTGCAAAGTTTGACACATTGTGTATCGCATACCAACAAATACATGACAATATCTGCAATTGAACAAGATCAGTATTTTTTTATATCTTTATCATATATCTCTTACCAAAAGCAAAAAAAAAGAATAATAGAGCAATTATATTATATTTCCTACCTCCTATGAAATAAAATGCTTCAATCAGGGGAAATGAACTCATATTTCTCCATGGTAACTCTAAAAGGATTGTCACAAAACGTGAGTGAGGGATTGTCTGAACACAACCTAATTTCACCATGACTGAATTCTTCTTCCGTTAAGAAGAAGCACTAAATATCTACACCGGGTGTTTTTTAATAAAGGGAGTACTGCGAGATCTACTGTGGCGCCTTTCATCAATAATGGGACAAAAAGATGGACCAAAGTACCACGATCCCCTGAAAAAAGCTGTTAATTAAAGTTCTGGCTTTACAATATACACAACTATGTGGAGGTTACTTCTGAAAGAAACTGCCGGTTGGGAAGTTTCATCAGAGAGAAAAGAAAAAACAAGGCATGGAAAAGTAAAAGTTAAAAAGTTAGCAGCAAATAATGTAAAGAATCAAAGGCAGCTGAAACAAACGCACCTTGGAACCGTAACCGAATAACAATGTGGTGACGGCATGTAAGTCTGGTATCAGAAGCAACGAGGCGAGCCCCACTCACTTTTTCCCTTTTCTACATTTAGACCCCCCCCCCCCCTTCATGAAATACATCAAGTCACGATAACCAGTCTGCTGAAGGACACGAGACGGCGTCTCACCGACGGCGAGAGAGCGGTGAAGGCTTCTGTTTCAAAGTAGTAAGCGAAATACACGTTAAATGTCAGAGAAACATGAACGAATTAACTTGCATGCCAACAAAGCACAATAGACAACGCTTCCCTCAGCCGGCACTGTGTGTTACACGTGATTAAAGACTGAAGACACGTTGGAAGAATGGTTTTTCTGCAATGACGTTTTTTTTGTTTGTTTTTTTCCCTCCAAAATTCAGCTGAGCGGAGAGCAGGTGGGAGGGAAGGTCCTGATCCCGCGGCGTGACCTGTGTAGCAGCGGGTTACGGCCGTATGCCGGAGACCTTACCGGTCCTGCGGCTTCTGACCGTGCGGGATAATTCATGTGCGAATAAGCGTGTGTGTTTCTGTCACCGCGCGTGTGTGTGTGTGTGTCAGCAGCTGTCCTCGAGTGCGTTGACCACTTGTTCCAAAATGTCGGGGCATCGTTCGGCGATCTGCTGCAGGACCTGGTTGGCGTACTCCTGGAGCTCCGCCCCCTCCATCTCGCACAGCGCTAACTCCGCCTCCAACTAACAAAGAGAGAGAGAGAGAGAGACATTTTAGAGGTTTTTTAAATCCAACGTTCGCCCATAAAGCCGACGCAGAAGGAAAAGGAATTGTTCGTCACTCGGGATACACACTTAAATAAACTATATATAGATCAGAGCACTGAAACTGGTTAGATTAGCTCAGCAGAAAGACTGGAAAGAGAAAGATAACAAACTGCCTACTGTGTTAAAGTTCACAAATGTTGTCGTGTGAAAACGATGTGCCAGACGCTTCCTGCTTTGGTACGTTCGTTCCTCCTACGGCCTATAAAACAGCACATTTCTGTTTTTACAAATTGCTTTCTACACAGCTCAAACGCGAGTACACTGGTGAGCTTTCAAGGTGCTGGTTGTGTGAATTTTTAGTTTCCAGCTTAATGCTAAGATAAGACAACTGGCTGACTGATAAGACAACCGAGAAGCAAAACGGACATAAAACAAAAATGAAATCCAATAACATTCAAGCGCACAAACAACAGGCTGGAACAACAACTCTCCATGAAGCCCCGTGGACGACACGGAGCGCGTTTAACACACACACACACACACACATGAGACTGTAATCTGAAAACACCACAATGTAGTTCTTTCTGACCATACAGACTGGAACATTTCTGTGAGAGAGTGCTGATGATATTTTCTTTGGCTGCAGCCGAGCTGAGACGTCAAACCGAACGGACTTAATGACCAATACATCTGTATCAATAAGAGTACGGCTCAAACAGTCGTGTAACACAAGCCGACATTTATGTTGGTGTGTGTGTGTGTTTGTGAGGCCCGGGTCCGATATTGGCAAAAATATTGCCTCGTTAAGTCCTAACCTCTTCCCTGCACTCTCATCTCTTAGCCAGCAGATCTCAGGGGCATCTTCTGTTACAGCGGCTTTATTCATGTTCAAAACTGCTGTAAGTAGTGATACTTTTGATGATTAATGAAAATGTGTCCAATCAATCACATGAGAATATAGTACCTCATCCATATATTATGTTGCTACATTAGTTCTGGAGAGTTTGTGACAAGTTTAGGTCAATATTTAAACGTTGCTTTGGCAATACCGCGTGCCTTGTTTACGTGGATTTGAATTTAAGTTCTGCTACGTCCACTTTGATCATTTATAAAAGTCAGCCTCTTAAAACATACCTGAACTTGAAATGGGACACTGAACACAGGAATATCGCTTCAAATAAATGCTAATATGTCTACTCTAATTCATTAGTTTGGTTGCGTCAATAAAAACTTTTGACGTTGAATTGAATTCTCTGTTCATAAAACAACTTGTTTTTCCCTTTAACGAGCATTAGTGAATTTGCACATTATCTGTGAACATGTAGAGTCTTTGGAAGTATTGGAGGCCTGGAGGTACGTGAAGACAGAGGAGGACACGATGAAGTGAAGAGTGAGTGAAGGAGGAGGAGCAGGAGAGCATGAGGCTCCATCACTCTGCCCTTCTTCTGTGCAACATTTCTTATCCCGATCCATAATGCCCAGACACAGGCCCAAAACCGTGTGTGTGTGTGTGTGTGCGTTTGCATGGGATTCAACTTAGTGACTTTAAGTTGAAATTCCCAAGAAAAACAAGGCAGTAAAGATTAGAGTCGCCCGGCCTTGACCTCCGCCAGAGAGAGACACTTGCAAAGGGCATTTAAAAAAAAGTCAAGATTAAGCAGGTCAATCGCATCATGCTATATACATAAAACGGGCATATATGCAAATATAAAGATAAGATAAGAGATAATAAGTGTGAACATTTGAAACATCATTCAATTGTTCCATTATCCACTGCATTCCTCACGCGGCCGCGTGAACGTCCTCTCTAGCTACATTCAATCTCTAGCTTATTTATGACCTGAAGAAAAATGAATATAAACAATATTGTATGATTCAGTTTCCAGCTATGAGGCATTCGTTTGGACGGCGTGGCGTCAACAGACGATGTCTGCAATCACAGTGCAAGTGGTCAGAGAGACGTGAAATAACACAACAGCGCGCCAGATCTTTGACTTCTTCAACAGTGTGTGTGTGTGTGTGTGTGTGTGTGATTGTCAATGTTTGGCTTTGTTCATTAGTGTAGGTGTCAGTGCTTTGGTGTTCGACGTGATGCTAAAAATGTCTATTTTAGTGAGTGACAAGAAAGGATTGTGGGAAGCAAAGAGAGTGACACAGTGAGAGAGAGGGGGGATAGAGGGGGGGGGGGGGTTCTCGAGGATGATTTTTACTGCAGCCATTAAAGCTCCATTATCATGATGGATCATTATCTGCCTTATCAGGGCTGTGGAAGAGCAAACACACACACACACACACATCCATACCCACACAGGTTATCGGCTTAAAAAAAAAGGATGAGGGCGATGTGTGTTTGTGTACGTACACACTGACCCCTGTGCGCACGTTGCAGGGCTTGAACCTCTTTGCAGAGGAATGCTAATGTTTTCTAAAGAAACCATAACTCAGCAGCCAGAGATAGAGGCACAGAGATTAACAGAGAGAGACGGAGGGGTCGTGGTAGAGAGTGTACACACATATACGATCCAACCGGAGTGCATCAGCTCTTCCTGTTGCAGACACACTTACTAAAGGAACTCCGTGACATTGTTCCAGTTAAGGATGATTCTGAGGGCCAGAGGTCCTGTTTTCATCAGGAAACTGTGCGTTCACTTCATGGCAGTGTATGTTAAGTAAACGGTAAGTAACGTCCCGTTGTTTTGACTGATTTAGGGGAAATGATGATGGAGTGTAGGAGTCACGAGCTTCAGTCCTTTGTCTCCATAGTGAGGCCCAACTGCACAAATAACGTTGGATCTCAAATAGGTTTGGATGGTTCGACTGTCACCTTTTTATCTTGATGAAATTACCATTAAGATTATTACTATATATTGTTAAATTAAATGTATTGTCTAGTTTTGAATGTAACTAAATGTGATCATTCATACGTTATCTGCTTGAAGTCCTGAACTGCGATCAACCCGGCCCCAATTCACACCATCTTCTTTTATATTTGCGGGAAAAAAAGATCTGCTACGTATTTCATCCAATTGCTGGTCTGAACATTAGCACGTAAAAGGTAAAAGAACAAAGTGCAAGTGACATCACCGCGCTGTTTGGAAGGAGAGGTGGAGGGTAAGGAAACAGAAATTGAGGTGAAAAGGTGAAAAATGAAAAACCTTCACAAAAGACTCTTACTTAAACAAAACCAGGAGGAAAACATGAGGACGAGGGACACAGAAAAGTCCCGGAGGGCAAGTTTTGACCTAATATTCCTCAGCAACAGCACCAAGTTGCATGAGTAAAGATAAGATCAGGCGGCTTAAAAAGGCTCCAGACTCCTCCGCAGCAGTCCTATAGAAACACCATTATGAATGGGAGCCAAAGGATGAAGAATAATAGGCCCATACTGGCCATTATAATCCCTGTCTCTATTCAAACCATTAGGCCCTTACAAGCTTACACTGTATGCAGTCTGCTTTATAAGTTGGCCTCCCGACCGCGCCGGGCCCAAATGCGCCTGAGCCATGTGACCAAATGTGTGCGTGCGTGCTCTGTCCTGCTTCATTACAGCTGCAGCCCGGGCGGCTCGGCTTAAAATGCAGGCTAACGAGCTGCAGGGGGAATAGAGCTCGAGGACGTGAACCTAAAAGTGCTCCTGGAGGACTGAAAAAATACTGCACTCCTTTTAGCGCACGCGGCAGAAGAGAAACACAAGTGTGAGTGTGAGTGCGAGTGTGGGCAATAGAACATACGGCAGCGCGGTCGTTTCATTTGGTCATTTCATTTGGTAGCTCATTCGATCAGCCAAAATGACCGTAGGAACATATTCATATGTAGACGTTTGGCCTGTGGGAGCAGTTAGTTAGGAAGGGGACAGATGATTAAACCCCTGATCCTGTGACTTGTAGTAATTGGCGAGGAAGGGAACAGCACATTCCCCCCACCCGTCCCTCCTTTTATTAAAGTCTGGGATCTTTCATACATTAGTTCACTTCTGCGACATTTACTTTAGCGGTTATTAATGCCGGTTGGACGGCGGCTGGAGGTGGGCTTGTGAGTCTGCTAACTACCGTGGAACACCTTTATCGAGAACAGGAGATTACAGAGCGTATAAAAAAAAGAGACTTAGACCGTAAACTGGTCCTCTAGGAGTTACTACTTGGGGCCGGACTTACAGCACTAATGGCTGCAGAAATAAACAGCAGAAACAGACTCCGACTGACTGTGTGTATAGGTGTAACCTCCCAGTGGGCCAATCGGGGGGGGAAATAAAACCACAGTGTTGCTTTGTACTGGAATTAAAAAGGGAAAAAAACACAGTCTGCGGACGAGACAAAAGGAAGCCTGAGATGCTTCTAAAAACAGGTGATCTGAAAGACAGATATCTGGGGTATTGGTTGTTAATCTTAATCTAAACTAAAGTGTATTTGGGCAAAAATATTATTTGGCACAATAACTGAGGGGAAGAGGCACAAAGTACACTGACAGGCTGCTTATAAAAGTGTTTAAATCAAGACAGAGTTTCCCATTAAAAGTAATATACCCCCCCCCCCGTTTCCCCTATTTTCAATAGTATTTAAAATACTTGCACAACACAGCCATCCTACAGCCTGTCAATAATTCATGTGTCTCCAAATAAATCATAAACGCACGTTTGGAAGCACATTAATATGATTAAATGATTGATGATGATGATTAAAATAAAATGTCAAAAGCAAGTCGTTACAAAAAAAATGAATCTTCTTTCCACAGCATGATATTCCCCTCCTGTTCCCTCCACTGTCACCTCGATCGCAACCACAGACTTCATCTGTAACTCTTATTACTTGGCTACAGAACCCGGTGAATGCTCGGCATCAGTACATCTTAAAGGGTCCGATCTTCGCTCGCTCGCTCGCTGGATGGAAGTCTCACTGACTACAGAGCTCGTTGTTCTGCCGGTCACCGTCACAGGCTCGTCCCTCCACAGTGGACGGAGTGGCGGAGAAGGTAGAGGATGGAAAAGCAAGGTGGTGATTGTGAAGCCGGGAGAGGGAGGCGCAGCGACGAAGAGGAGGGGGAGGAAAGAGCGATGACCCTCTACAGAGGGAGAGAGACCAAGGACCAAGGAGGGAGGACAGAAAAAGGCAAACGCATGTAAAAGAAGGTCGACTGGTAAAGCCATTAAGCCTGGATTCAATAAATCTGCATAAAGAGCCAGCAGTCAGTCTGTAATGGCCAGCGAAGGCCCTTGTGTGTGTGTGTGTGTGTGTGTGGACTCGAAATGGGCACCGAGGGTCGGACATGTGCATCTCATTGTGTCTTCTTGCCCGCGGTGTGTGTGTGTGTGTGTGTGTCTAATGGTCGCGGAGGACCTCGGCGTCGCATGTAGAGGGAAAACAATCATCCTTGGCGCAGGAAGCGGAGCTGCCTAATGAAAGCCGAGAGACCCCCAGACCGCATCGCAGCTCAAATGGATGGGTCTGACTCTAGACGACCCCCCCCCATCCCCCCAGCACCCCACCCCTCCGATGCAATGCTCTAACACTGTGGAGGCGGGGCCTAATCAGCAAACCCACCCGTAGTCACCTTTAATCTGTGATGTTTGAATTTCAGCTTCGCCCCTTCCCGTTTTCCACTTCTCCTGTCAATCAAAATGTCCCCCAATCGGTGACCCCTGCCGCAGTGAGGCCTCGTCACACGGACAGAAACACACGGCTCCTTTGTAGTCGCCCAGTGGGCAGAGGGCATCAGGCTGTAGAGCTGAAACAACAATGATTGACATTCCAGAAGTATTTGCAGTTGTAACTATGTCATTATGTCAAATGTTTAGTCCGATTTGCCTCGGTTACTTTGACTACATGGTGTGTAGGAAAATGCACGTACACCGAGCCAGAGTGAAAATACATATTCCCCCTTTTTCTATTTGGAGATCGTGTCGCGACAACAATGATACTTGACGTCTGCAAGCGGGTGGCACTTTCCTTCATTAGAGTGACTTATAGAGGTATAAATATGTGGACCGGATTTTTCTCCAGCTCCAGTTGGCTCGGACACGCGTGCAGCCATTTCCCAGGGAGCGCGCCTCGCTTCGGCAGATAGAAGGTCTGACAATTCATACCGGCTTCGTGAGGGCGGCGAGATAATGTCCAACACAGCCAATAACACTTAATACGTTTCTTTCTTATCCCGTACCGTGCTCACAAAGAATGTACATGCACTCAAATGGACACACACACACACACACACATAAACTATGAGAGCTTTTTACGTACATATATGCATACACACGCAAACAGGGGCTTTCTTGTACCTTCACACTTCAGACCAGGAAGGTAGACGCAGGCCAGAGAGAGAGAGAGACTTCCTGAATGCACGTGTGCGATGCCAGTTCTCTTCGGTGCTCATTAGAGACGTCATTGAGCCGTAAAGGTTATTATTATGACCATGGCACAGAAAACAGCACTTTTGGTAAAACCTCCCTTTTGGAATCTGCGCTACTTTTGTAGTTCAGCCGAGGCTAAAGAGAAACCTGGAGACAAATACGACCCGATGCCCGTGAAGCTACCAGCATTTCAAATGTCCCACTCAAATCAACGGCTTTGGCAGCACGAGTGTAACTGCGGTAAGACGAGACACGAGCCATCTTCAGGTATTAGCAGATCAACAGCCGAGGCTGAGTGGGGACAGTTCCTCTTGAGGGCGGCACAAATGTGAGAACCAAAATCATACCTAACAGTTGTTGAGATTTTTTTAATAATATAATGGAACAAAGAGTATCCCAAACTAAAGAGTGCTTGAACAACATGTTGCATTGTAATAAAGGGCTCTGGAGTCACTTGGCGTGATGGATTAAAACGCGCGTTTCGATGTGGTGCTGTGGCTGAGGCGCCGACAGGATTTCTGCCACAGCAACTGGGTGCTTTTGTTTGCATTGTGAATTACATCGTATCATCTCCTCTGTTACATCTGGTGAGAAACAGAGGTACTGAGGTACTTTCAAAACACAGACGATCGACGCCATTCTTAAAAACGCAGCACAGATAGCAGAGTTTATTCCTTTCTGGCTCTTGATGCAACCAGTTATCCGTACTGGCTGGTTCCCAGTTGATTAAAGGCGTCTTGTTCCTACGAGGCCTCGCTCCACTTCAACAGAACACAGGGGAGTTCGCAACGCGCTCAACGTCCCGAGCCCCCAGTGGTCATTCGCGCTAATGCACGCACACACACGGAATCTGTAGGTTTCCGTGTGTGTGCGTGCGTGTGACCGACTGTCCGTGTGTGTTTTACATGCTATTTTAGTACGATCCCGACGGCTTTACAGAGTGCCAGGCATTTTAACAGAGCCAGGGACACGCTTGTAAAACACACACACACACACACTCACCACAAGAGGAGAGCGGCTGGCACACGGCGGGCACACGGCAGTCTGGAGGGAGTCTGTGTGTGCATTAAGAGGGTCAGCCAGGGTGATGGTGACACATGATGAAGGAAAACGAGAAACGCGGGCCCGAATGAAAGACGGGCAGTGTGTGTCTGCGATTTTGTGGGTCGGGGTCCGAAGCAGACGCGTGGCGCCGAGCGGCACCGCCTGGACACGGGCGGGTTTTGACGGAAAGAGGCAGAAGGATTCAAACTGCGATGTTGCTATGGGAAACGTCTCACCAAAAAACAAACAAAAAGAAAAAAACAAGAGGGACCAGAAGAGCCACTGGCGTTTTAAAAAAGACGTGTAGCTCTTAGACCTCCACGGACAAGTGAGATGGTGAGAGGAAAAGGTAATGGTGATGGAGGCACTTTAGAGGAAAAATAACGAAAGGTCCAAAGAAAAACACAAAGGCCCGAAGAAAGAACCAAGCTGATGTGGTAACGGCAGAGGAGAACGTGATGAAGAGGATAAAAGAAAAATCTTCTTCATCCAAAAGCCGAAACCGTAGAATTAAAGTCATTTTGTTACTCTGCAAACATTACAATCAACGATGAACACTCTGTAACTATTCTACTCAACATAATATCTCCTTTTCATTATTATACAACAACCACACGTACAAAAAAATGCTATTTAGTTAAACCAGCAACTTTATGAGTAGATGTGTGTATATATGCTACAGAATTACATTATAATCATATATATATAAATAAATAAGGCATGATTCATGTAGCTTTACTTTGCTAGTTTAGTTTGAATGTTTTTAATATTTCCAAACGTTTTATAAATATGCGGTAGGAATGAGATGCTGCAGAGTAGTTGGTTGCCGTCTAAAAGCTTTCAATCTTGTTGGACAAGCGTTCACAGCAGCCTGCCCACATGATTATTTTTAATCCAGAGTACGTTTTTCTTTAAAAAATGTGGATCAGCGGCCTCCAGACCACAGATTGCTTTCTGCGTTCAGCCAGATGATGAAAAATACGTCCAGTAATTGTCTCTCTGTGAAGGTCAGTCAAGCCATTTCTCCGTGCCTTTAATGTACACGGCACACTAACATTTCTTATTTCATCTTAATTCATTGTACTCAGGGTTTGTTTAAAGTGACACCATACTGTGCCACACTTGAAGCACTCAGACAAACAGACATTTCCCAGAATTAAGACGTACAAAAGGGCTTTCATGAGGACTGTAGGAGACCGGTCCTGCTGTACCCCAACCACACACTCTGTCACATTGCTATGCGAGTATGTGTGTGTGTTCTAGGGTTACCGTTTTTCAATGTATACCACATGTAGCCACCATGTATCGCCTGATATGTTTTCAATATGGAGGAAAAAGAAAAGCCGTCCACCGAATTTTTTAAACTTAATAATACGCCGCTTATATTCGATATCTGTCAACACAACTGGTTGCCATGACAACCGAGGTACATCAAGGCCTCACCTTTCGGTGGCCTCACTTCCCTTTGCGCTTTGCTCTCCTCCCACTCTCGGATGACAAATCATTCGACAGATAGATAGTAAATATGCTGCTCTCTGCGCCTTATATGAACCAACCGTCTTCCCGCTGCCAAAAGCTGCGAGCAGAGTTCACCGCCTGTAAAATAAAACGGATTCGTTGTGCAGCCAGGAGCTTGTCGTCAGGTGACCTGCTGGAGTAAATACTTTCAATAATTTCAAAGGCAGCACCAAAAAACTGCCAGACCGACCAGTGTGCCCTATTCCAAAACACACACACACACACACACACACACACACACACGGAGAACGATGACACAAACTCGCAAAGGTAATCACATTACACAAGCAAACTCGCTGTTTTTACGGTTTTATTAATTGTGAGAGACAAAAATGTCCTCTTTTCATTCGATTGCATGTCCCCTCATGTTTCAGAAGCCCAATGAAACACACGGAATATGCACACAAAAGCTCTCACCTGTTCCTGTGTCATGCTGTGCACCTGCGTGTGCCAGGAGGCGGAGTCGGAGCGGTGATAGGCGGGGGGCGGGGCAAAGTCCTGCAGGATGACGGGGTCTCGTTCCTGACACAGTGAGGTCAGGTGGCTGATGTACAGCTTCAGTTTACTGCGGTTGTGATCGAGATCCAGGAGAGGAGAGAGAATCTGGAGGAGGAAGGGAGTGATAGGGGACAAAAATGAGACAGATTCATTTTATTGTCCACCAAGTGTAATGACATAGGATGACAATTCAAGATTTGACCACACTGGAAACACATTAAGTAAGAGATGGAAAGACGTGGTCTGAGAGCAGTAAATGCTGTTAGTCGTTATTTTATTCTAGGATAGTCTTTAATTATACTTCTGGCCTTTGTACAAAAACCTTTACTCTCTATTTAATAGCAAATAATCTTTCAGTCACATACCTTCTACTGGCAAAAAGGGCAGAAAGAATTCCCATACCCCTGCTACTTGGTATAAGTGACTGTCCAAAGTCCCTCATTCATTCACTACTTTCTGCCCAACATTACATTTTGATTTTTACACTTATGATGCATCTTCCCCTTTGAGTTCCATAAGTGGAAAAGATATACAATAAGATGGTATTATATGGGAAATGAGGAATTTTGTAAAATGCAGTATGAATCTTTCTGGCACCGAGCCAAGTCTTAAACTGTACAACAGTTCAGTTCAGCTTATGGTGGATCGAGCCAATGAAGACTGAACATAACAGTTGGGCTAATTCAAGCAGATATTAAGCATAAATGATGAGGTAGGATGAGGACGGACGTGGAAGTGGAGAGAATAAGATGAGAATCCACAGTTAACAGCGTTGGATCTAATTCTGATGTGTCTCTCACTGTGGCCATCACTGATGGCTGTGCGTGTTTGTGAGTATGGGAGTGAGGCTGAGACAAGCTGAAAGGTAACGGCCCCAAGACACACACAGACACACACACACAGACACACACACACACACACAGACATTCCCGCACAGATAAGACACAGAGACAAACTGTTCTCCTTTGGGGAATTGAAGGATTTAAGTGCAGAGAAAGCATGTTAAGAGGGCTGTCAGTTTGTATGTGTGTGTTGGTAAAGGATATTCAGTCCCAGCGGGGTCTGTCCACACCTTGTGATCCATGCTCATCATCACTCAACACACACACACACACACACACACACACACACACACACACACACACACGCTACGCAACATGGCAGGATCCATTTACTCGCTATCTCGTCTCCATCTCATGTTTAAAATTTACCAGCTTTACCATTTACTGCAGATGGAAGAACTACATATGTGTCATTGGTTTAGGCGTGACTTTTATTCTTTATACATTTAATTCAGACAAATATGCAAAGTCGTCCGTCAAAAATGCTTGCAAATTTTTTCTTTGCGTCGTGGCTGTGAATTATTTCATGTTCCAAAATGTTGCAACTATGCCTCCTGCATAGTTTAGACAGTGCTCTAAATGACTCTCTCTGTCGCCTCAGCTCACTGCTGACTCATTCTAACTAAAGCAAACTCGGGTTACGGAGAAGAGAAATAGTAAAATCTAATATGATAAGGGAAACATTAATACTGTATATGGAATAGACACGTTGTTGTATATTGTTACTTGCAGGCTGGATTTACTGAAACCAATATAGTGACTTGGATGCTCTTGTATCTAATACGTGGTATTTAAAATAACGGAATGTAAAACTACCAAAAACAAAATGAGGAAACATGTCTCTCCCAGACACACAGCTTTAACAGTTCTAAATCTGAAAGTCTCAACTGTCAAAACAGTGAAAAAACACACTGCAGACTGATAATATCCTATAACAATACATATATATCCGACATTCATCATTCAGGAACTTCATCCGTTTGAGCATCCTGGCAAACAGATGAAAGAACGAGATGTGGGGTGTTTTTTTTCTGGCAGCCAAAAACATCTGATTGTGCGCTCTTCCCCGGCAGCAACGCTGCGACAATGAAAGCCGACGTTAAATCAAAGTAACCGTCACTTTTGATTCTGAGTCCTTTGTGTCAACACACACGTCCAACACACACACAATAGGTGTATTTATTTGTGGGGTTTTTTGCTCCCCATCTCCCTCGGCCTGTTCATAAGTAGCCCCCCTCTCGCTCAGCACTGCTAGTTTTGTAAAGAGAAACGACAAACAGGTACATACATGCATACACTGTACATACATGCATGCACAGTACATATATGCATACACAGTACATACACATGCATACACTGTACACACATGCATACACAATACATATATGCATGCACTGTACATACATGCATACACAGTACATATATGCATACACTGTACATACATGCATACACTGTACACACATGCATACACAATACATATATGCATGCACTGTACATACATGCATACACAGTACATATATGCATGCACTGTACATACATGCATACACTGTACACACATGAATACACAATACATATATGCATACACTGTACATACATGCATACACAGTACATACATGCATACACTGTACATACATGCATACACTGTACACACATGCATACACAATACATATATGCATACACTGTACATACATGCATACACAGTACATATATGCATACACTGTACATATATGCATACACAGTACATATATGCATACACAGTACATATATGCATACACTGTACATATATGCATACACAGTACATACATGCATTCAAGGACACAGACACTCCCTCACTCACACAGGGTTGTTATCAGCGTTGTAAATAGCTTTAGTTACAATATTTCCCAGTAAGGACCTGGCAGTGTTGATGTGCATTTTGAAATACATTACTGGACATTTCCCCCCCGGAGGAGAGAGGGGAAACGGAAAGAGAATCCAACGTTGGTTGTACGCTGCAGTGAGCACAACACCCCTGTAGCTGTATGCTATGAAGTGTGGCGATGCAACAAGGACGTTATTGCTGCGACACTGCGGTGTGAGATGCCAATATATGAACACGTCTGTCAAAACCTGGCTTTCATGCTTTCAAAACATACTCAACACATGTGCCACAGCTGTTCTCGAACACGTTCTAATCCAGACTATTTGGTCAGAAAGCTCAAAATAAAAAGAAACGACTGTCCACACTCGCCAGACCTGCAGCAACGCTCCATGGATCAAATGCAAGACAAACGAGAAACAGGCAGAAAGAATGGAAGGAATGATGCGATATAAGGAAGACATTCAGGGAGAAATACCAGCGGTGTTTTCTTTCCCTTTTCCCAGAAATATGTAATGACTAACAGAAACAAATATTTAAATAGAGCCTAAACGTATACTCGTAATACTATTCCAAAACAACACTGACTTCTGAAAGTCTGTGCAGGAATTTAAGCCTTTGGATTAACTGGTTTTATTAAGTTATACAGTTTATATGTGCCTCCATGTTTTTATTGTATTACACCAGCTGCAATGGTCAACGTATGCAGTGTGTGTGTGTGTGTCTAATGACTCCACAGAGTTATCCAATGTGCTATAAAACAATCCCAGAGGGGCCATCATTTTGTACGCCGCTGTGTGTGTGTGTCAGGGAGTGTGTGTTTGTGCGTCTTTGTGAGCCTCCCAGGCCTTCCTGCCAGAGTCTCACTGTGCAATGAAACAAACTCCAAAGACTGACATTCAGCTAGCCCCTCTCGCTGGCCAACCTTTCATGGCCAAGTTACACAACGATACATATTGTATCATAAAATATATAGATTTATATAATTTAGTCTATTTAATCACGAAAGACTGAATGTCCGGCCAGTTCAAGTAAGTAACTAATTTAACTGACATAAGCAGTCATGTCAAAATAAAAAAAAATAAAAAAGTATAATAATAATTCATACAGATGTGAGATCCTGCTTGATATTACAAGTCAGAGCTTGACATCGTTTATCATGAACTTGTTTTTTAAACATCGAAAAACCTCACTAACTAAAACACTGAACTCCTTAAAAAAACAGGTTTTCACCTCCTCCCTGTCTTTTCTCACTGGTGCATCTCACACCGCCGACAACCATATAAAATGCAACACACCATAAAAATGTCCTCGACAATGCTGTGTGTGTGTGTGTGTGTGTGTGTGTGTCGAGAGTGCTCTCCTGTGCTCCAGTTGTTTCAGGAGCATTTCATTCGCCAACCGTCGAACAGAATTCCCTTATTGAAAGAGACACAATCACTCAGTGTTCCGATGTAATGCGCTGTGGCGAATTACCCGCCGTGCCCTCCGAGGAGAAGTATGCCGGTACTGTAAATGTGAAAACTCTCAGCGGGGGGAGGGGCTACCGCCGATTAATAACCGGGGTCAGGCTTTGATTCGCCGTTCAGGGTTTGGGCTTTTAGCATGCCAATGGGAAATCCCGCTGGTGGACCTGAACTGCACCCCCCCATGTGCTGCTCATATGTGGAGCTGCCTCCACTGCCCGACCAGTAGATCAAAGACCTAGACGTAAAAGATATTTTCAGCGTTTCCTCATTTCAAAAAGAAATCTTCATTAACTCGTCTTAAGAGTTTGAGAGGAACAAGTAACTCAGACCTCGTAGCCTGAGGTTCACATGTTGCATTAAGCAAAGCAGAAGCATTGAGCAAAGCAACAAGGGTTGTTTTAATGTCTGAAGAATGACTTCATTCCGAATAATGTGTTCAAATGAATTTGACTGTTTGAGGTATTGCTCGACTTGAAGGTTGTCAAGCACGAGCAATTGATGACTTTTGGGACTTCCAAATACTAGAAACCCCCTTTAGTTCATTTAAAAAAAAAAAAGTAATGGGCAGCCTCAAGAGAAATATTCCTGTTTCCGTACTAACATAAAAAGAAAGTATTTTGGCAAGCAGTATTTTTTAAAACCTTATAGTTTAACACATGGAGAACTTCCAGCTGAGACAAACGCACGTCATAGAAGAAGCCGAGGACCGAAAACATGAGATGTGGAGGTGTGCATACGGACTATTCAACGTATTTTACACCACAGATATTCAGCTGCAGATCTGTTTTCTTTAAAACAGATAAATGGTGCTCAAATTAAAAATGGGGGAGAAAACTTGGACAGACACATAATTGGCCATCAGCAGGATCGTCCCCAGAAAGAAAAGGTCATTTAACCCAAATGTCTTGTTTTTCTATCCTACCTTACCTAACCTCATGGATAGAGTACACATAGAATAGTGTAGAGCAGGATATCCAGAACGCAAATGAAGCTCTTTGGAATAAATGACCATCAGAAGAAGATGATGGCTTGAAATGGAAGGAAGTGATGAGCTATTGAACGGATAAAGAACATTGCTCAGTAGTTGATTTGAAAGCATTCCTGTTGATTCCTTCGAAAAACAGCAAACTGCTGAAGAGAAGGAAAGCCTCAGGAGGAGGAACAAAGAATGGACGAAAGTGAAAACGACAGTATCACAAACAACAGAGAGACGAATGATGAGCACATCCGAATGCGATGTGATCCGGAGAAAGAAGACGCTCACCCTTTCTGTACAAAATGGCGGAAGGAGAGCGCGACAGGAGGCATTTGGCTCGCTAGGCCCAAATACCCTCCTCATCATCCTAGTGGTTAGTCGGGTCCGAGCCAAGCGGGAGTGTTGGAGAAAAGCAGGAAGTTAGTTGGTGAAGTAGAACGTGTCAGTGAAACATAGCAAGCGCAGAAAAACAAAAACCCCCGGGTAAGTTCATGTAAGGTCGTCCGCCACTGTAGGTGGGGGGGGGGGCTCACCTGGTCTGGCGAGGGCTTGTGATTGTTGGGCTGCTCCGAGGTCGGCGTGGAGACCTTCAGGTGGTCGTCCTCGTAGTTGTCCGCCATCAGCTTCATCCGGTTCTGAGTCTGCAGAGAGATGAAGCGTCAGTCCTGTGCATGTAGACGCTCGCAGGAGCACTTTGATGGATGAACAAACATCAACACTCGTAGACTTTTGTCTTTACTATCCCCCCCCCCCCCCCTTTACCCCGCCGCTCTTATCTCTCTCATTCCGGCTCTTCCTTCACCTCTTAATCTCTCCTCCCTTCTCCCTTACATACTTTATTCTCTCCTCCTTTCCTTTACGAAGGGAGGCGGCGAGTGAGGGAACGCGAGTCGGTTAAGATCTGTCAGTATTGTACAATCTAAATCCCCTCAGCCTCTCGCTGAGCCCCGCGGGGAACGGGGGGCTTAAGCCGGCCAGACGGAGGTTTTTCGAGTGTGTGAGAGACGTGAAAGAGAATTTTAATACCAACTATCACAATACGTGTTGGCGTGATAGCTAAATAAAAATACCAGATAGCGATCCGACGGTTTATTTTTTATTCCACGTGTATGTCGGGGCGGTCCAGGTGTGTGTGTGTGTGTGTGTGTGTGTGTACATGATTTCCTTGTTTTCTACAGACAATGTAGACTGTGTGGTGATTATTATTTGTCTCCTCACCGTTGTGGACACAAGCATTAGTCAACAAATTATCTTTTGTCAACGTAACAAGCACAAAGAAAGGAAAAGTATCCTAAAAACAATTTGAAAAGTTAATCTGAAAATGCTTTTCTTCTGAAATGACGTCCAGATAACTTGCTAACTTTCTGCTCATTGGCCCATCTTTGTTAGTTTTGCCCTTTCTACCTTGTTTTTTTTGCAAATATGTACTGAAACCAACAACATCCATCTCCATTTCTCCGTTTCAAACAAATCGGCAAATTCAAATCTAAGTTAAACTTTGACAGAAAGTCATCTTAACTGTGCAGATCTATGCCGGGATCGAGAGCTGGATCGCCGAAGCTGTCCTCTAACTTTTTAGACACACACACACACACACACACACACACACACACACACACACGCACGCACGCACACAAAAATTTTCCGGCCTTTCTTTACAACTTCCCCTTTTCCTCTAATCGTCAGGAATGCTCTCCTCAGCGCAAACTTACTTAATCTAATAATCACACTACTATTTATCTCCTCCTCCTCTCATTGTTCCCTTCTTCTTTCCTGCTCCGTCTGTCCTGCTGAAGCCCACTGACATCAGACAGAATGGGAAACAAATGAAGATCCTGGGGGGGGGACATGCTTAGAATAAGATGATGTCATCGAGATAAGACTCGGGGGAATATTAGATCGGATTATTGTTCCGTCTTCCCCTCCAGCGGTGAAAGAGGACCTCGCTGATATCCGAGCAATTATCGGTAATGAAAAGTTGCTGAGTCATGGTTAGACGTGAACTTTTTCATCACAATGCAAAATTAGATTAGTTTTTTTTCTCTCCACGCTTTTCTGTCGAGAAGATAAAGTTGTTGATAAAAGGACTATTACAAATAAGAATAGAAAGTGTCTTTCGGGCGCAGGGGGAATTATTTCATTCTCATGAATCTCTGAGGAGTAATGAACTCAATTAGATCCACATGTGTCTGTAAAGAGAGATACTAATGAATAAAACCTCCATCGCTCACTCACTGGTTCACTTTAGAACTGGTAACTAATTTAGACTTTTGTCCTGAACAGCAGAAAAAGCCCTTTTTTAAAACTGCTTGAACCCAGTTTCTACTCGATTAAAGCCACATTCACGCAGTCATCTGCTTTCAGGATTCACGTTTCAGAGGATCAAAGCGGCTGAAGGTTTTTTGTCTCCTACCCGATGTGTGTGGCTAATTTATACTGACTAACGGGGGCGGGGTAAAAAAATAAAACAGGAATGTAGGAACCACCAACCACTAATACGAAGAGCCAAAGTCTTAAAAATGTCCGTAAGCAACACAGGTGCGCATTCATTTCAAAGGCCGCGGCCACACATACACCACCTATAAACGTTAACCACATGTGTCTCCTGCAGGGGCAGATGGTTGGTGTACTCCACACCTTCCCCTTCTTCCATTGTGTGAAATATAACTGTGACTTCCTCTTCTCTTTTTCACAACCCCTCTCTCCTCTCTCTTTCTTTCTCTAGAGGTTTTAGTCTCCGTCTCTCCACCTCACTGCTTAGGGAGAAATTAAAAAGTGAACCGGCGCAGGGAGACTGTGGGAAAGATATGAGAAGAAGAGTGAAGAGAGCCGAGGACACGTTGATCTACAGCCTTCTGCTGGCACTGTGGCTTGAAGGAGGTGGGGGGGGGGGGTGAAAGGGCAAAGCACAGCAGAGACTTTCAGGGACGACCGTATATTCTGAAACGCACAGATGTGTTTTGTGTACGAGGGAAGCGCTGCACATGGACAGATTCACATCCACCCATTCATCAGTTTAGTTTAAATATAATTAGCTCCCCTCGCTAACTCATTAGCCATCTTCTGGTTAACGCAAACCCACAGGTAGACGCTGAGGTTGCTCTCGTCCGATTGGCGGTGCAAACGTGTGAATGCTGCGGTCGGTTTCACCCCTGTAGTTCATCTAGTTTACGGCTCCCTTTCATCGCCGACTCATACTTGCCTTTAATTTCAGATCACAACTCTGCCTCTGTCAGTCTGTCAGTCGGGTTATCGCTAGCAAAGTGTGTGCATATGTCACTGTGAAGGACCGGGCTAAAAATACCACACCAGCCTCAGCTCACTTGATGGTTACACTGCCAACACACACGCGCGCACACACACAAACACACAAGACACACAGTCGGGAATACTGAGGAAGTCTCGGCTGTGCTCCATCATTGAGGGACTGAAACTGATGATACCACAGAGTGAGAGAGAGGAAGAGAGAGAGAGAGAGGGGGGAGTGAAACCACTCACACCTCCACACACACACACACACTGCCGCAGACAGTAGAGTCTCTGTATTGTGAGTACCCACCTTCGAGACCCCGAGGTGTCATAAAAGACTTCAAATGACGACGGGACGGGGGAGGAAGAGAGAGGAGAGTGATGCGTGTTATAATGACTTCGTTTGACACGACGCCTCACGCTCACCTACTCCCTGACACACACACACACACACACACCTGCACGCGATTTTCCTCTCCATTGTGCGTTCGTCATATCGGATACTTCCCCAACAAGTGGGCCTTTGGCCATTTTCAATAAGTGGAACTCTTTCGCAAAACAAAACAATGCCTTCTTTTTATCTACACGGTTTTCGAAGACGACGACGCCAATCGTTTATTTTGAGAAGCAGTTTAGTTTCACAGTTTACGGGAAAATACACAAAGCTTTTCTATATCGGTTTGCTTGTGTTATGTTAAGTATATTTGCGTTTTAGGGTCAGAGAATATTCTAAACTTGAATATATATGCAAATACTAAAAAACAACCCTGTTATTAGCGTGTGAACAGTAATATTGAATGCTGGAAAAGAAGCTGTCACCGCCGCGTATTAAACGCACCGCACGAGGAGTCACATAATGTCTCTTTGATTCATTGGAAATGAAAATGTAAGGTGAAAGCATGAAAAACACATGTAATTGGTTTTCCATGTGCAGCCGGCAGGATTGAGGTGAAGCGCTGGAGCTCCGCTTCTTGACCTTCTTATTTTGTGTCAAATTATTTATTAATGTTGATCTTGGAAAACCATCTGCGGCTGCACCCTTAAGCCATCGGGAGTTTGAGCATCAAACAAATGCCTCTGCGGGGGAATCAAGTAGGAAACAAATAACGAGGGGAAACATAGAAAGAAGAGACACGCGCGCGTGAGACCAGTGAAGAAGAAGAAGAAGAAGAAGAAATCCACCACACTCCCAGTAGGCTCATCCTCTGAGGGCTCGGTTAACTCACTGGACCCACGAGAACCGTCACTGTGTGTGTCTCCCAGTGTGTGAATAGACCTCTGTGTGGAACCACAGCGGCATTTGGTCAGGTTTATATCCTTGTTTTTGGCCCGTGTCAGTGTGCACACATCGTTTTGTGTGTGTGTGTGTGTGTCGGTGTGTGTGTCCGTTTCCTTTTTGAAGGTGTATTCAATCCAACAAAGGGACGTGTTAAGCTGGGGGGTGTTGGTGTGTGCGTGTTTCATCTGACGATCAAACATTGAAATAAACTCTTCATATTTTACATGAAAGTGTTGTCACTGGAGATTTGTAGAACATTTTAACTGTGTGTGTGTGTGTGTGGTGAGTGTGGGAGGGGCAGTTTAATCCTAAATTTACCCTCGGTGGTTGGAGGACTGCGGTCACATCTGGACTCAGTTTCTCTCTCTGCCTCTCTCGTTTGCTTTGCTCCCCTCATACCTGTGCCCCCCCCCCCTCCACCCACTTTCTCCTCTCCACACCTCCACCTCTGTCCTCTAAACAACTGACCCAAAAGTGTCCGCCCGGATGTCAGAGGTGCTGGAAGCAGTGTGTGCAAACAACCGAACCTGCTGCTTGAGCTGATGGACCAGACCATCCTTCTCTCTCTTCAGAGCCGCCACCTCCTCCTGCGTTTTCTTCTTCTTGGACGAGGAGAGCTCCAGCAGGGCGATGTTGGCGTCTTTCTCACTGATGGCCGCCAGCAGGGCTTCTTGCCTGTGCACAGGACACATAACACATTTCGTTAGCAACACAGAGAGTGAACTCTGAAATCTGATTTCAATTGAAGCCGCACTCGGTGACCCTGCGCACGATGACATTGCTGACAAAAGTCGGTGGGAGCTAAGTGCCTTCGTCAGCGTTTTCTCGCTGAAATATCTCTCATAAACGACGCCACGGAGGGACAATTCACCCAAATTCCCTTTCAGGCTCCACATTGTTTTCTTTTGTAGATGGAGCAACGGATGTGAAACTTTCTTCATGGCTGGATGCCGTTTGTGTACACTTACATTTTTATGGTCAACGCATCGCATGTCAACAGTGCGTGTGGAGCGTGGAGGAATCACTTTGTGATGTAGGAGGATCAAATTGGTGTATGTTTGCAAAAATATGGCGCCAAGTATGATGCAAACCATGCAATCAAGCGGTTTCCAGCTTTTTTTTTCTTCTTCTGAGGACCTTCATGCCATGTACACAAGATCTGCCAGAACAAATAACGAGATAAATGTATTATAAATTAGGTAATACTCCTGTCCCTGTAGGTCTCTCCCCCCCCTGCACCCTGGATGCTCCGGCTGAGGGACGGATAGCATTCCTTGTGGTTCAGGAAGCAACAAGGCGCATCCCATCCGTCCCGTCTGTCTAAGATCTGGCCGAGGACACTCGAAGCTCAGAATTCTGTCGATTTCTAATCTAAAACGCAACGCACGATCACACATGCGCACACTTTTTGGGGGAGTTGGGGGTCCAGGGGTTTTGAGGCTGCAATATTTACGTTAACTAAAAAAGGGCTCAAGAAATGTACCGCACCACTGTACCTAAAATAAACATGTGCGAAAATGCACACAGCGACGTACAATCCTCCAGATTTTATTGTTCAGCTTCTCCCTTTACTCAGCACACAATTTCACTGTTTCTCCCTCTCTCACGCACACAGACACACACACACACACACACACATAACGATACAGATACAGCGGTGCAGAGAGGAATGCTGTGATGAGAGTGTTTAACTGAAAACAGATTACATGTTTGGACTGTGTGAAGACCCCTCAGATTCTTTGGTCAACCTCCCTGGCCACACTGTCAGTGTACGGGTGTCCCATCATGCATCTGGACTGCAGCAGCCTGTCGGGAGCGGTGAGGGAGTCGAGGCCGGCAGAGTGATTCCGTTACTTCAACATTGTGGGAGGCTGGAACACTGTGACAGTCTTTCCCGTTCCAGTTTCCCACAGGAGTACAGACACACGCGTGTGCGCAGACTGACACACACACACACACAGGGAAGCTAATGGAACATTAGTCTTGTTAAAGCTAACAGTGCGTCCAGTTTTATACCATATCTGAGAGTTACCTGCCAGCACATGGCGCTTTTAAACCCTGGTGATAAAATGATATTTGTTCCAGATGCACTGGTCTCATTCTGGGCCTTCTCCCTTCATCTCAGTACGACACACACACAAACACACACCTACAGACACACACACACACACACACACACTTACTCTCTGCTTGGCCAGAGTTAAACACATGCTCATGACAAGTGCTGGTTGTGGCTACCGCTGTTAGTACGTGGTCGTTAAAATCTGCTTCAAGTGCAGCTCTCTTTTGCAAAATCTTTAGATAATTCTACTGTCAGAGGGCTCTTAAAAAACATAGTGCCTCTCAGCTCTGCTGGCGGTGTGTCCTTTACATTGAAAATGACAAAAGGCACCGCGTGGAGGAAAGCTCCCCAGTGGATACGAAGCCTTAGATCTGTAAACTCTCCTCTCTGCAGCAATGTGGTGGGCTGGAGGATAAAGGAAGGTGTCTGAAAGATCTCCATTGTTACCTATTTTGGCAACACCACTAGCTTTAGCTGTTCTAAAAGCATCCCAGGGAGGACTTGTTTTTCTGAGCGTTCAGTGGCGTGACACGTTTCGCCTTTGGATTCCGTTCGGATGCCACTCTGCTCTGTGACTGGTCGGTTGCGGCGTCTTCTGTTAGCAGGTAAAAAAAAAACAACGACACATATTTGTACATCCCCCAAAAAGAGAGGAAGACATTTGATACGGGGCGGTTCTATTGTGTTATGGCAAAAACCACTAAGGTGCTTGGTTGGGATTGAAAAGCGATTTAGTCAATCGTCAATCAAAATCACAAGCCTCTGTGGAGCCGGCTTGTGAAGATTATTTTATGTGCGTTGTTTATTATTTAAACGTCCCTTTAGCAACTTGAAGTGCAAGACTTGAGTTGCCGTCAAGAGACGACGTGTACGGCCCGAATGTTTCTCAAGTAGCCAGATTACAAGGTAACTTTAAACCAATCGAAACCTTGATCATCCTCAGAAGACGGCCGCTTCCTTTCCTTTTTTTTCTCACCATACAGATTGCTCCCCTGCATTCAATCAACGCCTGCTTGAACGTGGACGAAAGGCATAATCTGTTCATGGAGAATATCACGGCATTCATCGTACATCTGGTGCTGGACGCAAATTTTGGTCCCTGCATAAAAGTTCAACATCAACCACGCCGAGCTCCTCCAAACTCATACTTTATTTGGCACTGAACATTGGCCTTGGATGTAAATTATGAGGTGCAGAATCATTCAATAATGCCTACAGAGGTTGGCCGTTATTGGGCTAACAATCTTTCTGTTCATCCGAAAAACCCTGACACTCAGGATTTTGTGCAAAAAGTAAAAGAATGTAGAAAACTGGCATCAGGCTGAACTACTGTTGCATGCCAGCTGGTCATGGTCATGAGTAGTAAAACAGTCAAATATTTATATGAACGTTTCACAGGTTATTCAATTTAACAAGTTTCCATTTACGTTGTATTCTCTTCCCCCTTCCTCACGGGCGCTCTCTCTCTCTCTCTCTCTCTCTCACCTATTCTCCATCGGTGTCGCTCGCCCACCTTGCGTTCCTCATCTCCCTCTCTTCGTCCCTCGTCCTATCTCCCCGCCCTCAAAGAGGACGGCGGGCATTCTTTCCGTCGTTTCGGCGGTCGTGTGCCATGATGTCATCGCACCGGCGACGAGGCTGACGGTAAGCAGACGCACGCAAACGCACCAGGCACCTGACCCCAACCCCCGACGCACAAACACAAGCACACACACACACACACGGGGGGCTCTCTCCTTCCTAAAACCACTTAAGGCCCCTCACTCTATCTGAAACACTAATGCCTGGTCTTAGATCACTCACACACACACACACACACACACACACACACACACACACACACGCACACGCACACGTACGCACATGCAGCTTCCTGTGTGTGCTGCGTTATCTCTTTCATGCCCTCTCCTGCAATCTACAGTCTGCGTGTGTGTCTGTGTGTGTCGGAGAGCGAGTGACAGTTGTTATACGTGTGTTCATCCCAGCACGTCTTCCCGTAGGTGCGTGTTGAGCTCGTGAGGATGCGCTTGGATGTATTTCCGTTTGAGTGTGCTTGTGAATGTTCAATAGTTGTCCGTGCGTACTCAAGGCTTTATATGTGAGCGTGTGTGTGTGTGTGTGTGTGTGTGTAGAGCAGATCCAGCCCTGTGTGACATTAGCCAGTCTCCGTCTAAGACAAACACAGAGCTATTTTAGAAATAATCCCCTCTCCGCTCTCTCGTTCTGACGGAACAAAGCGGCTCTCCGTTGTTGTCGGTGCCACTGTCTGCTCCGGTTACACAGGAGACGGCTTGTAGGACGCCAGAGTTTACTCTTTAACCCCCGTAGGAGACGTTGCGTGTCGAGCTCGACCTCATTTCTGCGTTGGGAGCTTTCGCTCTCCGTGAGCCGGGCTGCAGACAGACGCAATCGGGACTCGGGTTGTTTTTTGTTTTTTGGAGAAACTGGACGGGTTTCGAGGCGAGTGAAATCGGTGGATTCCCTCGGCTGGCGTCAAGGGGGATTTAGAAAAATGTGAAGCATATTTACTGTAATCACTGGGCTGGGAGCTTTGGAGGAGACTAACGAGTTCAAACACTAACGGTATAACAGCCTATTTCAACTTGGAGATTAACACCTAAAATATATAATTATATCCAGCGGGGGGGATCTGTCTTCTAACACCGGGACAGGGGAAAGGTCTCAGCTGGGAAGCCCCGTGAGGAGGATGTGTGGGGATGAAACCATAAAATGTCCAAGCTCGATGTACACACACACGCACACTTGGTTTTACAGCCGACATTAACACACTGATTTCCACCATCATACATAAAAAGAAAGAATTTATTAAAACATGTTATTTCTGCAGGGTGGTAAAGTCAGACGCAGAAATGTATAAACACGCCGAGCGTGCAATCTTGACTCCTGTCCACATTCTCACTGTTCTGGTTTGTCAGAAAGCAAAGGAGAGGAAAGACTGTCGGGAATATTTTTGAATAACTGAATGTTAAGGAAAAGTGTGGTTAAAAAAGGGAAAAGAGAGCTGACAAAAGAGCAGAGGAACGAGATACAGGAGGGCACAGCTGGCTCTCAGTGGCTGCTCGTGCTGACTGAAGACACACACACACACACACACACACACACACACACACACACACACACAGGAGTATAGAAAGATGCATACGTCTTTCTCCTCAAACCATCTTTCATTTTCTTTCTGTATCAGCCAGATTTTAGTCCACAGACATCACACACACACACACACACACACACACACACACACACACACACACACACACACACACACACACGTCTCTGGGACTAGTGTTCATGACTGTGCATAATCTACTTGTACGTGGGGATACACATTAATCCATTTTTAATTCCTCCTTCTGTCTTTGCGTTTCTTTCTTTCCCCACTTCTTTTTCTCTATTTCCCTCTCTGTCTTATATCCCCCCCACAACACACACACACACACACACACACACACACACACACACACACACACAGCTACTAGTTTAGTTTCAGAATCTCCATAGTGAGACCCTGCAGAGCAATATTTCTCTCCCAGCTGACAGCTTCTGTCCTGGGGCCGACAGCCAGAGAGCACTTGGGCCTTTATTCTGCTCCTCT